ATGCTGGATTGAATTTACTGCACAGCTCATTAACATTGGAGTAAATTTCATTTACCTGAGTAAGGAGGGGAACCAGACACTGTCACTAAATAAATCATAACTGACCAAGGTGCATCATCATAATAAGTCTCACACCAGGTTTATAATAACCTCCCACTCAATGAGCTCGAGTGACTCATGAAAACTCTCTGACGTTGATTCTTTTTTCTTAAGCCTCACAGGATACAAACTCTCCTACCAGCATTGTGCTGTCAAGCTGAAGAACTTGCTCACTACTGATGAAAAAAATGGTGATGGAGATGGTTCTTCAGCTAACAGGAAGCACTGCAGCCCTACGTCCATGATGTGCTTTTTACTCTGTGGTGGACAACATGTGGCACAGGTGTATCCTGATATATGCACTTCTGCCATGACTTTCTTTGGGTGTCTGCCTGGAGACTTTAATGCTCATAGTCAATACGCTTTAGATTTTCACATAAACCGATGAGCAAAAACATGTTGAAAAGTCAACTAAATAGATTTCACGATGATGTAAAAGATGTTTCACGTCTTTTCAGATCATTTAAGGGGCCAATACATCTAAACTGTCTAAAGTTTATGCAAATAAATGATCTTGCAGCACATACTGAGACATATATAGATGATATAAATGTCTTTTTTACAGTATTGTCCAAAAATCCTGCAACATACCTCATTGCTTTATATTTTGCTTGGGGAAAAAAAGGAGAAATGGGTGCAAACATACATGGAAATACAGTATACAAGACAAAAATGACAACCACTCTTCCACTGAGACCTTTCTGGTGAGGCCTTGGTGAGCAGTAGATGACAAACTGAAGGACCAGATGCATCTCTCAGATCCTTTGTCAGGTCTTTGCTTTTTTTCCCTTCTTGTTTCTTACAGACACGACTTTCTGACACTGTTCATTGTTCTCATCCATTGAGTTATGACCCCTTTTTTTGCGTGAATGAAATAGGTCAGTGTTAAATGACCTATTTCCTCACCCCCCCCCAAAAAAAACCAAAAGCATTTTTCTAAAATTGGTCAGATAGAAAGATGAAGCTAATTGCTAAAAACTGCTGCTCAAGCCCTGTTTAAAAAATATACTAGAAAGTCTGGCTAGTGTACTTCTGTTACTGGTCCCAAGCCCAGATCAATGGAACAGCTGCACCAGGAAAGGCAGCTGGGAATTGTAAAACCAGTATCAAACAGCAGATCTATTTAATGTGGCTGTCTTGTGGGAAATAACGAAGGGGCTGAAAGTGCCTCACGTATACTGTTAAGATGTATTTTAGCTCTACAATAAAGAGAAAATTCACCAGAAATTATTTTATTTTTGAAATTAGGTTGAACTCAAGCCAGCGTTAATGTGATTATGGCATTAACGTCATTGTAACGAGATTAACGCTGACAGCACTAATAACACAACAACACACACACACAAACCACACACACAAACACACACACACACACACACACCAACACACACACACACACACACACACACACACACATATACATATATATATAGATATTTTAACCTTTCAACCAATTTCAGACATAAACTGATGACTTTTATACGTCATGACTGACCGAGCAGACGGAGCCCAGAAAACAACCTCTGTAGATGGCTAATGCTTGGTGGCAACATTTTTTGGGGCCTGCTAACCTTCATATCTGGTATGATTTTGCAATACTATATATGATGTTATAAATGTGTGAATGTATTGTGAAAGAGAAGGTGTGCAAGCTGCCAGCTCTTGAGTGTGTTTAAGTAATGATGGAGAATATTTGCAAATGTGAAAGTAGAAGAAAGAAGAAGACCTTCTCAGGCAGAACCACACAACAGGAAGACCCCCTGTGTACTTGTTAGAGGTTCAACTCTGGTTTACATTTAGGCATGCAGAGGTGTGAGGAGTACAGCTTTGGTGTATCTTTACTGGACTGACTCACAAAGATCCTTTCCTATCAATAATGTACAAAACATTAAAGGTTTGAAAATGTGCAGAAAGACAGCGCTGTTATTTGCTGCTCTCTTTGCTATGCTAGAAGATGGTATTATTAGCTACTACAATGCTAGCATGCTACTTAAGATGAAAGAAATGATCACACAGATAGCTGTGCTGCGTAGACCTCCACCAGAAATGAGTGAGGCAAGTTTTTTTTTTTTATAGTTACCTCAAATGTCAAATGCTATTTTGACACCTTCCATCTGATTGGCCAAGTCAAAGTTTGGCTCACATTTCAAGGGTTTCGCTTCAACGTTTGCTTTAACCTCTTCAATGCTTGGGGCACCTGTAACAGATACAATGCGTGCAGTCCCATTTTTTTAAGGTTGCCAATTCTGTCACATTGTTCACCTACAATACCAGTAAGGTATGGTCTATTTTTAATACCGACACAACAACACATTGTAAAACTGTCATCAAGGTACATGTGGTCTACATAAGTTGCACATCACAAAAACAAGTTAACAGCGTCAATATTATTAGCCCCCTGAAAAATGGATCTTTTTATTGAGCCATAGCACAAACCACTGCTGTGTAGTGATGTGCTTTAATTTTGTGATGCTCAAAACTTTTAACAGTTAAAAGTAAGGGTTATCTTCCAATTTACACACAGTACAAAACTTCAGCACGGGTTTGAGCTGTCACTTGAGAAAGCATCATGTCAGAAACAAAATAAATCAGTTTAGACTTGAGAAAAGGAATAATTGATGCTTTCAAAGCAGGAGATGGATATAAGAAAGTTATCTAAGTATTTCCAAGTGTCAAGAACTGGAGTGAAAATATCATCAAGAAATCAAACAGAGCCACGCTGTGGAGAACACGCCTGGCAGAGGAAGGAACTGGAAGGTTTAATAGACCCAGAAAAGAAAACTAGTTGGAGATGTGCCTAAAAACCTCAGAACAACTGCCAAGACGGTATAAAAACAACCTAACCAAGTCAGTTGTCTCAAAGAAGCGAATCACTGGAACTCTACACAAGAATTGACTGTGAGGTTGCAGAACAAGGAAAACCCCACTTTTACAGAAGAGACACCTTCAAGTCAGACTGAAGTATGCTAAAGACAACTTGGGGAATGATTATGCAATACTGGAATACACTTGAAGTCCGTCGTTTGATCAGATGACTTCAGAGCCACAGAGTGCTGCTTATGTTTGGAGAAAGAAGCCGGGCAACCCAAAGAATACCATCCCCACAGTGAAACACGGTGGTGGGAGTATTATGTTGTGGGGACGCTTCAGAGTTTCTGAAAAGGGAATCTCGTGGAAAGAAGGATATGTGAAGATTTCCAAAGGAAACATCAAGCAGTCCGCAGCAAAACTGGTTCAGGGTCATTACTTTGTCTTCCAACATGATGACCCAAAACATACATCGCTTTTCCAACACCAAAGAGAAAATTATTGATGGGCCTGCACAAAGTCCATGACTTGAATCATTAAAAATCTGCAGGATGAACTGAAGACTAAGGTCAATTCCAGAAGACCATCTTATCTGGAGGAGCTTGAGATATTCACCAAAGACGAATGGGCTGGGATTTTCAGACTTGTTAAAAACTATAACAAACAACTGCAGGATGTTATTCAGCTAAAAGGATGCACAACTGACTGTTAGCATCAGGGCAGCTAATAATTCTGACCCCGGTAGTTTCAGTTTATTTGTGACATTATTTTTCTTCTGTGTGAAAAAACCCCAGGATGTTTGGAACAGGTGTGTTAAAAATTACTTGTTCTGTTTAACAGGTCTTGGAAAATCCATGGGGAGGCTAATAATTATGTCCTCATCTGTACATACTAGGACTTAAAATTGTTTCATGATTTTCAAAAGGGCTGCCAAATGTTCATGACCAGTCCAGGGTGTACTTCACCACTCGCTGGCATAGACTTCAGTTCCCCTGTGACCCTGAATTGGATAGGCAGAAGAAAATGGAGGGATGGATGGATGGGTGGGCTTTCAAAATGAGTGAATAAACTCATTATGAAGCACTTTTGAGTCTCTGTATGCGAGTGTAAGCTTCTCATTCTCAGAGAACAAGTGTCCTTATATGACCCATGAGGCTTTTAACTGCAGCCATGGTCAGAACATCAATAATGGCCACTGGTCAAGTCAGATTTCCTCACATAACCTGACTGTAAAAGGGCAGCAGGTCATTGTAGCCTCACTCTGCATCGCAGCATCACGCCTTTAAATTTTTGTACAGAAAAAACAGAATAAAACAAACAAAAAAAAGGGGGATGCCACAAGCACTGATCTGGGTACAAGACCACCAGATAATAGGCATTCTCTCCACTCTCACACACACACCCACAAGGACAAGCACACTGAGTGACAATTTAGCCACGGCTCATTTAACCTACAGGCTGTGACCCCGAAGTAAGGTTCCCTACTGGGAGTTTTCACCAGGCCAAATTCTTGCTGAAGGACGAGAGCACAGAGGAAAGTGACGATGCACACAGTCAACCACATACTTCGTAGGCGTTCTAGCGAAAGAGGTGCCCATGATGCTCAAAGTTTCATAAATAGGAGCTCATTCTGTTCACACTTATGTACACTTCGGCCTAGCTGTAAATAAATACACCCTCGTGCTCCCGCTACCCATAACCACAAATAATGCGAATTTCCTTCCCTTTCTGCAACGTGGCAGCGAGTGATGCTCAGCAGTCACCCACACAGTTTGCAAAAAATACCCCCGATGCACATCCCTGCTCATCGCGGTGCATTTTCTCACCGTGCGGACAGAATAAGTCACTCTGCCACTAGAACAATGTCAAACACAATGCAACTCTGCACTCTCTGTGTCTCACACACACTCACACAGCAGTGCCCCCTCCTCTTGTTGCCAGCAGGCTAGTGGGAGATGTTAGTCAAAGGGGGAGGGGGTGTTGTGAGGATATGCTGAGTGTGAGTGTGGTGGGGGTCTTTGTGAGCGACAGAGGTAGGAGGAGAAGGACAGAGGGAGGGGGACATAGCGTTCTATTTCTCATAGACCAGCAGCTGCTGTCTATAGTGGAGAGAGAGAGAGAGAGAGAGAGGAAGAGGGAGGGCTGTGTGGCGTGAGGCAGTGCGTGTGCTCAGTGTTTAGGTGAATCCACAACCCTCTGGCTCACGAGGATAAAGGATCCACACAGAAAACGAGAGAGAGAGAGAGAGAGAGAGAGGGAGAGAAAAGCAGCGCGGGGACTTTGTCTTCTTCTTCCTCTTCTGGCATCCTCTGCGCTCTTTCTCCTCGCTTCATTTTCCCGCAAGCCGACAGCGGCTGTTTTTGCTTCTTTTTTCCCTCCCATCCTTCCCTTTTGTTCTCTGCATCCATCTCCGTTTCACCTCGGTCCAGCAGAGGAGGCAGGAAGAGCATAGTCAGAGGCATCATCCTCCCTCTTGCACGCCGAGCCGGTAAGCTGAGCTCTTTTTTTCCCCCCCCCCACTCCCTTCGTTTCACCTCTCACCAACGTTCTGTCCACTCAGCACAGGAAGGGGATCGGATAGTCCCACCCTTCACCTTAAAGAGAGGCTGGAGAAGGAGGATGGAGGAGGCATGTGGGTCAGGTTTTGGAGTGAGGCTGGTGGGTGACTTGGGTGGTTAGTTTTAGCAGGGTAGATGGACCGGATGGGAAAGACTAGCCTGGGTCAGAACCCCCCTGTGGAGTAAGGCGGGAGGAAGGGAGCATGTGGGGCTGGTCAACTGGGACTTGTCCTCTTTCACTGCAGTGCTTAGCCAGAGCGCCACAGTCACTGCCACAGTCATATACACATCTCTACACACACACCATCAGGGATCTGCTCTGCATGTTGGAAACCATCAGGAGAGCTCATGTGTGCAAATTTCCAGTGAAGGTTGGTGGCTCGGTCATAGGACATATGTGACCTAGAACCATTGCAGCACATGCATTGTATATTACACTGATACTGTGGGAACAATGTGGATAAATTGCATGCCAGGCATGGCCTCTCGCACATTGAGATCCATTCACCGCACACGCGTTATATCATCTAATTGTCGACGCGTACAAAAGGCGCCTGGCTTTATGCAGCGAGATGAGGTGTTTGAGGTTCAAGCTCAGGCCGGTCATTTCTGCAAACAGACCTGCTAAAAACAATAGCCTCAGAATTGCAACGCTGATCAGAAGGGGTGGGTGCATGCGACTGGAGTGGATAACAGGGAGGAGGGAAGGAAAGGATGGATGGAGGGGGAAAAAACTGAATGGAAAGATGAATGAATGAGGGCTAAGGATGTTTGGACTTTTCAAATGTAGGAAAACAACTGGTGAATGAGAAAGGTGTGCATTTGGAGCAGAAAGAGTGAAGCTACCATGTGACTCTGCAGGTCTTCTTTTTGTGTGTGTGTGTGTGTGTGAGGGAGGGAGGGGTGATGTGTGGATGGACAGATGCATTTGAAGCAAGGTAGAAAGAGAAAGCATGTGTGTAAGAGTGGACTGAGATGAAAGGTGTGTAATTCCAAGTATGAGCCTGAATCCATGCCTGCTGCAGCCGCTAGGAATGTGGTTATGATTATGATAATGAATGAGTCACTGTAATTTAAGTTTGCATGCATAAATTGGTTTGCATACCAATGTATGTATACCAATCATACAAATGACACACATGAATGCGTATGTGTGCGTGGCCAGTGTTCTATAATATATCTATATGTAGGACTTTATTATACTGTACAGGTGCATGCATACATATTTGAAAGTATGACATGTACAATATGTGATGTATTTATTAACAATTATTATATTTATCACTGTAGCACATGTAGTGAGTGAGGTAAAACTGCATAAACAAATATATTTAACTAAAACATGTCTTTAACATTAGACAAAAACTGCTCAGTGCAAATCAGTTTAATTATATCTATATATAAAGCATACCAATGTGTTAATCAAATTGTATGCGTGTGTGTGTGTGTTTGCGTGCATGCAGGATTTTTCAGTCTGAGGTGGAATGGTGGCTGCTATGGTATTTACTCCGCTGTTGCTAGGACACTCCCTTTGAACATTTTAACGGAGCCTTTTCATTGGCTCGCCGCGATGATGCAAGAATCCCTCACCCCAAATCTTTCCTGAGCGCCCATAGAAACATGCCCGTCTGCATTTCCTCCCTGCTCTCCTCTCGCTCCTTCTCTGTCACTCCCATATCTCTCCCCCATTCTCTCCCATATCTTTTTCTCTTTGTCTTCTTCTCTCTTCTTCATTATTGCTTCATTTATTAATTCCTTGCTCTCAGTAAGTCACTCCTCCCATCAGTCTTCATCAGCTTGCCACTTTCTGTCACTTCCTTCTCTCTCATCCAGTCAAAATGCTCGCTGCAAAATGGTGTTGACAGTGTGCGGTGGTGGCTTCCAGCGCTGCACGATCACTCTCTCCTGCTGTCTTGCGGAGGATTAGCACTGTGTGT